AGAAGACTATAATCTGGTATCACCAGTGTTTCCCCACCAGGCTCATCTAGGAACAATTAAATTGCTGGTGTCGTAAAAATTAGGAACCACTGCTTGGATTCAGTACCTCAAGTCAGAACTAAAGGACTTTGACCAAAACATGGGTGTTCCTTGGCTGAGATTCATCGCTGGATATAACTACTCACATTTATATGACTAATGTTTGCAAGAAATTGATATACATTCTGTCATTTAATGCAATTCAGTGAGGTGGGTGCTGCAGATTTGGCAAAAGATACAAGAAGACCTATTCTTTACCTTTCTTTGGATGAAAGTCGAGTACTTAGGAGTCTTAGCTAATTAAAATGTCTACTTAACGTTTTCGGCTCAGCACATGTCTTTCCCCACCACTTTGTGCTTCATAGCTGCCTTTAGAACCTTCACCAGGAAATTTTCTGTGATTAAGAGGAAGTCAACCTGAACCTCCTTAATCATCATTACACTCTGCGTCTTCTAACCCAGACCTTTTTAATCAGTCACATTCTTCTGTCTTGCTTTTAGCCTTTTTTATTCATTCCTATAGGACAGTGACTAGAAAGGGCACTTAATGTCTGGCTATGAAACAAAGAAAATGAAGATAGTCTGAGGAAACTGATTTCCTGATACAAAAGAATTCTTAGCTATCTCAGGAACTTGTGAGGTTCATCTAGTGCATGGGTTCACAAAGTGGGCAATACAGCCCCTAGGGAGTGCTGAAACAATCCCAAGGGGGCAGTAGTAGTTTGAAATGACTAGAATTTCCAAAAAAAAAACTGTTAAAGGGTTAAAGAAAGTAGGTTGCCAGGGATCGCTGAGTAATATTTTTTTTAAATGGGGCAATAGGCCAAATAAGTTTGGGAACTTCTGATTCTAGTGCATCCTCTTCCCACTTCATAGATTAGGGGATTAGGGTTTCCAGTGGCTTTATCCAAGGTTACAAGGTTAGGAAGGCAGTGCTATGACCCAGGCCTCCTGATTCTTATTCTAGACCCCATATTGTCTAAGTCCTCAGGCTGAATAATTTTTTTCCCTTCTGCAGTTATTACCCCTCCTCGATTTGAAATCTTATTATGATCGTTTATATTTTTAACTGATTAAAAATCTCTGTGACCAAGTAGGGTAGTAAGGGAAACTAATTAATGGTCCTCAGCCTTGATTTTTCTTTTCCTGTGTTGCTTCCTTTCGGCTGCTGCGCCTTCTAGTTTCCCTTTTGCCTCTATGATTCATAAATCCAGTCAACCTAGTCCTTCCTCCCTAGCTGTAAGACTTCTTTGTTCGTGAAAAGTTAAGAGGTTACTAAGTAGAGGTTGGGGAGAAGGGGAGGTTGAGGCAAAACTTTGGGGAAAGAGGTGAAATGTAAAAAGTGGAGACCCTACCTCCTATCTCCCACCCATCCTCTCCTGGCGTCTCTCAACTCCTAACAGCTTTTTCTACCCTTCCTCTTCTAGGGACCCCTAAATAAGACTTTATCTTTTGCTAAAAACATTTATTTTCTTGGGTCGTTAAAAATTTACCCAGGACTTAAGGCCTTACATGAAAAGAAGAGGATTATTTCTCAAAACAGTATCTTCAGTGTTTTTGAAAAGGGACCCAAACTTTAGAAAAGTAAATTTCCCTTTCTACCCCTTCACTTAAGACCTAACATTGTGGCTACATGTTAAAAGTCTACATGAGGCCCCAAGGAAACAGGAGGAGCTGGGTAGGTTCCTTCAGATCTCTGTATTCTACCTCTTTTGTCCTTACCATTCTTATTGTCCTTATTCCTGTACTCAGGGACTACTATACAAGCCTAACAGGCTTTCCTGCTTTCAGTTACACCCTCTTCCAAACCATTCTGCATATGAACATCAGATTAATCTTAATTTGGCTTCACCCTCCTGCTTCCCCCTAATCTATGAAATGAAACATAAAGCCAACCTGGCATTCAAGACCTCTCCCGCATTAAGATCAGGTTCCAACCTAGCTTTCCAACCTTAAGACCCTCTAGGTGCATATACGTACTACATCTTAAAATTGGCCTCCCTCAAAATATCTTGGTTTTCCCATCTCTGAACCTGCTGTCCTTTGAAATCCATTCTCCCATTCCCCACATCAAAACTCCTAGCCAAAAATGATATTCCTCTCTTATAGCACATTTGGTCAGAGTTATGTAGAGATCTACGTAGAGCTGGAAGGAAGCCTAAGAATTTATCTAGTTCATTTTACACAGGAAGAAAAAGTTTCAACAAGATTTTTGACTTGCCTTATATTATCCCTCAAGGACTAATAACTCATATTTGGGGAAATAGACACACAAGGGCCTAATAATAAATCACACAAGGCACTTTCCTCATAATGCAGGTAATGCAAGAATTATTACCTTCATTTTACAGGAGATGGGACATGGAGAGGTCATATTGCCCTGGGTCACCAGACCAGAGCAAAGACTCCAATCTAGATTCAGACCAGTGTTCTCGCCACTACACCAAGTTACTTGCCTTCAGTGCAGATTCCCAGTCTTTGTATCCCTTCCCTATGACTTAATAATAATCAACCAACAAGCATTTGTTAAAAGTGCCCACTGTGTGCCAGGTATTGCTCTGGCCCTAGGAATAAAGAACAGTCTCTTCTCTCAGGGAACTGAGATTCTACTGGGAGATTCCAACATATTTTCTTTGATAAGTAAATATGCCAAATATATAAATATAAACCTATACACAGGCAGTATGCCATAGTGGATAGTCAGTCAGCCTTACAACCAAGCAGAATGGGGATCAGAAAGTTTTGTGTCTGACATATATGGGCTGTGTGACCTTGGGCAGGTCATTTAACCTCTGTGTGCTCCTAGCAACTCTTAAGTTGCAGAGAAGAAGCCAACCTGCTTCGGAATTCTTTACCAAGGAAATCACAGATTAGCATCATAGAATTCAGAAGTTGGAAGGGACTTCAATGGCCATCTAACATATCATATGTGAAAGAAGAATCACACTAGGTCATTTTTGGCTTAGGTGCAATCCGGGGTATGATAAGGGAGCCAGGGACTTTATAAGAGGGCAGTATAAAGTTGAACTGATTCACCAGAGTCAAGATGGGGAGAAGAGGAGAGAGTGGCTAGTGCATGGATGATGGCCTGGGAGAGAATTAAGGGTTCAGGGACTGGAAGTCAGTGTGGGAAAAGAGTGGGGTTTGGTAAGAGAAAGCAGAGGAAAGGTGGAAAGCCAATATATATGGTCAGATAATGCCCTATTCCACTCTCTTCCAAAGTTTTTCTTCCCTCTTCACACCTCCCAGGGCTTCTCCTCCCTCCACCCTCTCAGCTGAGAATCTTGCTTCATAATTTACAGAAAAAAAATTCCCCAAAGGTTCTCTCTTTTCCCCACTTCTTCGTATCACTCAGTTGCCTTCTACTACTATCTCCTCCTCCATTCCTGTCTCACATAAAAATGTGGCCCTACCCCTTGCCAAAGCTAACCCCTTTGCATGCTAAAGTGACCCCATTCCATCCCATTTCCACCGACAGATTGCCCCCTTTTAGCATTCCCCATTCTCACTTAACTTTAATCCCTTCCTGTCTACTGGCTCCTTTCCTACTGCTTACAAATATGTCTATGTCCCTCCCACCCTTAAAAAACCTTCCCTTTAACCTTCCATCCCTCCTAACTATCATTCTAAATCTCTTTGTGGCTAAATCTTCTAAATACACTCCCTTCTCTCCTCTGACACTGCCACTACCTGGTGCAGACCCTCACTCATCACCCCACACCTGGACTATTGCAGTAGCCTGCTGGTAGGTCTGTCTGCCTCACATGTCTCCCGACCCCAATCCATCCTCCATTCTGCCACCAAAGTGATTTTCCTAAAGCATTTTGGACCGTATTGTTCCCCTGCTCAATAACTCCTGTGGCTCCCTATCACCTCCAAAGTCAAATATAAAATCCTTAGCATTGCTTTCAAAAAGCCCTTCATAACCTAGCCCGACCCTATTTTTCCAGTCTATCTACACCTTAGTTTTTGCCAAATACTGATCAGGTGACCCAAGAACTCGGCACTCCGCCCGGCTCCAGGCATTTTCTCTGCCTGGAACCCTCTCCCTCCACGTCTCCCTCCTGTCTTCCTTCAAGCCCCAAGTGAAATCCCACCTTCTACAGGAAACCTTCCTCAATCCCTCTTAAATTCTAGTACCTTCCCTCTGCTAATTATTTCCTATTTATCTGGTTTATAGCTTGTTTGCACGTAGTCATTTGCTTATTGTCTCCCCCATCAGATTGTGAGCTCCCACTCCCACCCCCATTGCTCAGCACAGGGCCTGGAACATACAGGTGCTTAGTAAATGCTCACTGACTGATTCGGAGGTTGGGAGTGATGCCCTCCAAAGAACTGGGGAAGTGAGAAAGCGAGGGGGTGGGTTTGGAGGGAAAGATGAGGAATTCCGTGCTCTTGCCCACAACAGAAGCCTAATACTCACTGTTCCATAAAACATCATTTATAGCATGGCCATCGAGTCCCCTCAAGGCACCCATTTCTTCCCTGATTTTTGCCCATCCTCTACTCTGGCCTGGAGTCAGGAAGACCTCAGTTCAAATGCTGCCTCTGACACGTGCTAACTGTGTGACCTTAGGCAAGTCACTTAACCCTGTTGGCTTCAGTTTCCTCATCTGTCAAATGAGCTGAAGAAGGAAATGGTAAAAACCATTATCTTTGCCAAGAAAACCCCAAACAGGGTCACGAAGAGTAGGAATGAACGGAAAACGACTGAACAGCAACTGCCTTTGCCCAAGCTCATTCCTTCCAGCTTCAGTTCCAAGGCATCAAATTTGGGGCGGGGATCTGTTTCTCTAACCATTCTGGGGTTCTAATACTATAGGCAGGAGGTGCAGGCTTCAACCCAACCCCAAACTTTCCCGTCCCTCTGCGGCGGACTACGCGAGCGGAGACAGGCGGCCCCTTTAAGAGGCAGCCGAGGCTTCCGCCCTTTAAAGGGCTCAGAGGCGGCCCGGCGGCGGTCACATGACCCGAACTTCGGCCGAGCCCCGAGTCGCGGCAGGGGCTGCGGGGCTGCGGCGGCATGCTCGGGGAGCGCCCCCGGGCCCGGGGGGTCCCTGCCCGCTGCCACTGTCTGCTCCTCCTCCAGTGCCTGCTGCTGCTCCGAGCCCCCGCCGGCTTGCTCGGGGACCAGACCCGCCGGGTGAGCGGAGATTCGGGGGGCGCCCGGGAGCGGGGGGAACGACTCGATACAAGGGGGAAGGGGCTGGCGAGGGCTTGGGGAAGAAAGGGCTCCTAGCCGGGGCAGCTCGAGGACTTCCTTCCGCAGCCTGCCCCGGGGCCGTGACTCACCTCCGCCAGTAAGGGCAGGTGCCCAGTGTCAGGGGCCGGCCAGCGCACCCCTCCTGGTCTCGGTTCTGCGGGGGTGGAGTGGGTTTAGACCTAGCAGCTTTCCTCTTGCTCCCATCCCCCACCCCTCCATAGCCTCAGCCCCTGTCCCTTAGAGGCTTCCTTACTTCTCCCCTCCAAAAAAGCCTCGTTCTGCCCCCTCTCCAGGTGTCCTCCCTGCCCCTCTCCCCCACTGTTCCCAGTAACCCCTAGCTCCTTCCCCCAGTGTCTTTCCCAACCATTGCTTCAATAAGTCCTTAGTATCCTTACCTCTTCCCAATCCCCCTTCCCTCCTGTGGCGCTGACCACAAAATCAGATAAGTTAAATGCTGTCTTGACCTCCGACCCCTTTGTCTAGGTGTCCTTGGAGGTTATCCCAGAACCCAAGGACCCCTCACAAAACCTGTTGCACATCCGGGCCGTGGGAGTCAACTCTACAATTCACTACATCTGGAGCAGTCTGGGACCCCCAGCCGTGCTCTTTGTGGCCACAGACACCCCTCACAGTGTTCTGAGTATCAACTGGAGCAGCCTGCTGTCTCCAGAACCTGAAGGGAGCCTGGCTGTGCTTCCTGCTAAGAGTGTTCGATTTTCCTCAGCCCTCATATTCCCCAGGGTGAGGAGATGGAGGGAAAAGCTTCCAGCTTGAGGGAATAAACCAAAAATTGGTGGGATGGCTCAGGGATCAGGGTGGAGATCTGGAATCAGAGATTATTTGGTTTTCTTATTTCTTTTAGTATTCGAATTAGCCAATGGTTTATTTAGTTTATTGTTTTCACCCCCTCCCCCAATAAAATCAGCTCCTGGTTTTATCATTGTTGCTTTATTTTACTCTTAATTTTGCTAATCTCTCCTTTAATTTTCAGTATTTCTATTTTAGTATTTAATTGGGGATCTTTAATTTGTTCTTTTTCTAGTTTTTTAGTTGCATGCCCAATGAAGGGTAAGAGGGTGATTGCTAGGAGGGCTGACAGTAGTCATTTAGGAGTGAACAATACCCAGGCATGAAAACTTAGCCTCCCGTTCCTTTCCCTCTCTATCAGCTGTTTGAGTTTGACAGTACCAACAGTTCAGAAGTAAAGGACGGGTCCCCAGGAAAGCCATACCCACCCTACCTGCTGGCCAACTTCTCCTGGGATGATGTCAATAGCACACTAGACCCCACTATGCTGAGTGCCACATTCCAAGGTCGTCCTTCAAAGGATCCCTTGGGGGCCTTCAGCAATGGCAGCCTGGCTTTCAAGGTGAGAAATAAGGGCCAAGGAACTAAAAATTGAGTCTACCCAGGTGGGAGGATGGACAGAAGCACTATATGGTTAGAGATGGGGGATCAGGGAGGAAGGGGATCTTTGTGCTTTGTCTCTGTCCTTACCCCATCCTTTCAGCTTCTTTTTCACTGAATCTCCTTCCCTCCCCCTATGACCTCCCCAATCCCAGGTTCATGCTTTCTCTGGTTCTGGTCGTGCAGCCCATCTCCCTCGACTCTTGCATACAGCAGATACCTCCCAGCTAGAAATGGTTCTGTCTGGAGCTGTCCCACAAGGCAACCACTCCCTTTTCGGGCTGGAGGTGGCAATTCCAGTTTTGGATTCTGAGTGTCCCCAGCTGAAGGAGCAGGACTCCATCGATGATGAATATTGCCCTTCAGTCTTCCAGGTGAGGCTTCGTTGAGGGGATGGAGACATGGGAGCCTACTGGGGATGGTTGCCAAAGATGAAGAGGCAGCTAGGTGGTGCAGGGGATAGAGTACCAGCCTTGGAGTCAGGAAGACCAGAGTTCAAACCCAGCCTTAGAGAGATAACACTCACTAGCTGTGTGACTCTGGGCAAGTCATTTAACCCCAATTGCCTTATCAAAAAAAAAAAAGCAAAGGCAAGACTTTAGAATGATAGAATCATAAATTATATAACTTGTCTAGCCCTTTCCAGTTTACAAAGCACTTTCACACAGACCTCACAGAAGCACTGTGAGGTTAGGCAGAGTGTTATCTTCATTTAATAAACCAATAAGGAAACCTCACCTTAGAGAGATTTAAATGACGTGCTTCAAATCACACAGCTCATAGCATAGTCGTGAAAATCCAGGGAGGAGAGAGTAGTCATATACCACAACTTGTTCAGCCATTCCCCAACTGATGAGCATCCTCTCAATTTCCAATTCTTTGCCACCACAAAAAGAGCTGCTATAAATGTTTTTGTACATGTGGGTCCCTTTCCCATTTGTATGATCTCTTTGGGACACAGCCCTAGAAGTGCTATCGCTGGGTCAAAGGGCATGCACATTTTCATAGCCCTTTGGGCACAGTTCCAAACTGCTCTCTAAAATGGTTGGATCACTTGATAACTCCACCAGCAATGCATCATTGAATCAACAGTTTTTAAACATTGCAGAGACATCTTTTTCTATCAAACGAGATAGAGTATGTAAAGCATTTTTCAAAACCTTAAAATGCTCTATAAATGTCACATATTAATTCCCTACCCTTTGCCCTACTGATAAGTACTTAGGGGAGAGTAGTTCAAAGGGGCTGCATAGAGGTATGGAGTGGGGAGATTTTAGAGGGGTAAATATCAGGAGGCCCTTTTGAGATCTGTACTCTTTCCCTTCAGCTGGCTCAACTACTGTGGCATTCCTCACCAGAAGGCTTCTTACAGTGGCGGCCAGTAGCCTTCTCACAGAAGCAACCAGATTGGAAAACAGCCGTACCCTGCCAAGTATCCCGTCCTGGTCCCACCTTGGCTACCCTACTTCCCCAGTCACGTATTGTGATAGCTTTCTTTGGCTCCTCCGTTAACTTCTGCACCTTCAACCTGACATTTGGAGACTCTACTGGTCCTGCCTATGAGGACCAGCGCTACCTCAGTTGGTGAGAGGTGGAACCTAGGGGAGGGAAAGGGAATTCTCAGTTGGGCAGGTGGGTAGTGAAGGGAGGGTATGGGGTTGATGTAGGAACAAGGGATAAACCCAAAACTTTCTTTCTCTCTTCCTTCTTCCCCATCTCCTAGGTCGGCTCTCTTGGGCATAGGAATCCCCCCAGTGGATTCCTTCTCACCTCTGGTCCTAGGAATCATGGTAGCGGTTCTAGGAGCCCCTGCACTTCTGCTGGTAGGAGGTGGCCTGAGCCTTCTGATACTACGACATAGGCGCTACTCAGAGTATGAACCAATCAGCTGAGGTCCTGACCTCCCCCAGGTGCCTTTCCAGATCCTCCTGCCAATACCACACTAGGGTGAAAACAAGGATACACCTTGGAATAAGGAAGAGAGGACCTCATGCCTCCTCTTCCTCTGTTTCTGGCCCTGATGTTCATTGTAATGCCAATATCCTTGACTCCTTTCCTTTTTTTTTTTTAACAGAACCTTCAAACCTCAGTTTCTTCAGGTCTCCCCTGGGCAAGGGGACAGCAGGAGAACCAGTTAATGATGAAGGGGATGGGGCATCTAACTTCTAGCCTAATATTGGCCTTCTTGAATCACTTTTCTCCCCCCACCCCATTCTTTTCTAGTATTTGTGTTGGGAGTGTGAGATTATACCAGGATCAAAACATTGAGAAGCCTAACCCCTGGTCTTTGGGTTTCTAGAAGGGTGAAGATGAAATATATACTTATTTTTTCATCATGTTGTAGAGTTTCTTGGTGTATGTTGAGGGGAAGGGATAGAGGTGGGTAAGGGAAAAAGCCTCTCGTGGATGAACATTCCCAGAAGACATTAATTCTCCCCGTTACCGTTGGAGGTTCCATGCCTCAAACACACAGACGTGCCATGCATCAGTTTTCTGATAAATTGAACTGAGCAAGTAGATTTCTTTAAAAAGGAAGCAACAGAGAAATAATATGGTGATCTACACCATCCCAATTCCCTCTTTCCAACGTCATTTTTTACAAAGGGACCAGAATCTTAAAACACCTAACCCTCCCTGTCCCCTTCTCCTCCCCACACATACACAAATCAGTACCTCAGCCTTACATTGCCACATCTCACTTTGGGGACAAGGCTACCTTTACCACACATAGATAGATAAGTGGGTCACTATGGCAGCCCAAGTTAGGAGGGGGAGGATGGCAACCCAGCCAAAGCAGTGAAATCAGAACCATTTGGGCTTCATTTAGGATCATAGGTTTAGGGCTGGAACGGCCCTTGGAGGTCATGGAATCTAAGGCTCTCATCTTACAAGTGAGGAAAATGAGACTAAGGTTATGACATGTTTCTTCCAGCTAAGATATAAAGGTCACTAAAGGGATATTTAAGGGAAGCCCAAAGTTAAGACTTGCACTTCTCAGGTCCTGATGAATAAACTTCTACCAGCTTTGAGAGCCCCTCCTCCTTGTTTGTTTTGGACAGCTAGGTGGGCCCAGTGGATAGAACAGCTGGGCATGGAATCAGGAAGACTCATCTTTTTTGTTTGTTTGTTTTTTAATTTTATTAATTTATTTTGATTTATCAACAATCACTTCCATATGCTTGAGTTGAAGGTTTTTCTCCCCCTTCCTCCCCCCCACCCTCCCCAAGACAGTGCACAGTATGATATAGGCTCTACATTTACATTCCTATTAAACATATTTTCACATTAGTGAAGTTGTAAGTAAAAATTAAAACCCATAGGAGGACCCATCAGAAAGATGAAACAAAAGTCAACAGAAGGTAAAAATAAGTGATAGCGATTCAACTTCCATAGTTCTTTCTTTGGATGTGGACAGCATTTTCCATCCCGAGGCCTCTGGAGATGTCTTAGATCCTTGTAATGCTGAGAAGGGTTCAGTTTAACAATATTAGTCATCGCATAACACGGCTGTTATTGTGTTCAAAGTCCTCTTGGTTCTGTTCACTCAGCATCAGACCATATAAGTCAGGAAGACTCCACTTCATGACTTCAAATCTGGCCTCACAGTTACTAGCTGTGTGATCCTGGGCAGGTCACTTAAGCCTCTTTGCCTCAGCTTCTCAGCTGTAAAATGAGCTGGGGAAAGAAATAACAAACCACTCCAGTATCTCTGCCAAGAAAATCCCCCAAAAAGGCGTCATGAAGAGTTGGACACAACTGAAACGACTCAATGACAACCTCTTGTTTCAAAATGATTTATTAAGTTATTCCACAGGTTTTCTTTTAAGTCAATTAAGACCTAATAAAGACAGGGATCTTGCTTTCCCCTAATTCTATTCTCTCCTCTCTAGGAGGCAAGAATTCCTCCCAGTAGTGCTACAGAAGAATCAAGGCAGTAATAGGCCTCAAGAGGCTTTAGGATGAAGTTGCCTAAGGCAGTGTAAAACCTCTGCTACGTATGTTCCCTGCCCTCTCCTCCCATCACCCACCCCAACATCAGAGTCAAGGATTGGTGAGGTTCAAAAGCAACTAGTGCAAGGGTCACAATCTGGGAAGTCAGAAGGGCAGAGATGGTATATCCAAAGTCCATTCAGTAAAGAGTTCTGGATCATCTCAGTTCCCTGGGGTTTGGGGGGAAATGGGAGAACATCAGCAACAGGCAGAAGCAGGTGTCACCCCCAGAGGCGTGGCTTGTAGTCGGCAGCTCGTGCGTGGTCTGGATAGTCAAGTCGGCTGTCTGTGGCAGTGAACATGCGCTCCGGCTCCACCAGGAACATGTAGTAAAGATTCCACACCAGCATCGAGAGCAGCGGCAGGAACGTCAGTCCATAGCCAAAGCCTCGGAAGGACCGGCCCACTGCAAAAGTCAACCAGTACACCAGCCTAGGAGAGGAAACCAGAAAATGTCAGCATTGGAAGGCACTCAACTCTGCTTGAAGACCTTCAGTGAGAAAGAATCCACTAACTTGTGAAACAACCTGTTTAACTTTTGGAAGTTTTTTCATTATACAGGATATCTCAAAACGATTAAGCTACTGACTTAAAACTGCACTAAGACTTTTTGGGACACCCTGGATAAAGCCTAAATCTGCCTCTCTGTCTAGTTCTCATTAGAGCCTTAAGAATAAAACAAGCCTACACTTTCTTCCACAGGATGGCCCTTCAAATATTTGCAGACAGCTATCATGTCTCCTTTATCTCCTCTTATCCAGGTTAAGCATCCCCAGTCCCTTAAATGGCCTGGTTTTCAGTTCTCTCACCATTCTCAATCATCCTGCTCTAGACTCAGTTCAGCTTGACATTATCCTTGCTAAGATGTGGCATCCAAAACTGAACATAATACTGCATGTGCCACCTAAGCAGGGCAGAGTACAGCGGAGGGATCACATTGCTCATTCTGGGCACGAAGTTTTTTATTGATGCAGCCCAAGAACACATTATCTTTTGGCAGCTAATGTGGAGCTCACAGTCTACTAAAAGTCCCAGATCTTTTCTGTGTGAACTGTTGCCTAGCCACCCTATCCTGTATTTGCACAGTTGATTTTTTTTTTAATAATTCAAGTGTAGGATTATTTTATCTCTTATTAAATTTTACCTTGTTATAACATTTGGAGCTCCTCAAGATCTTTTAGCCAACATGTTAACGGGATCTCCCAGTTTTAGCTGAAAAAAACCTGGGAGGTTTAGCTCATCCTTGGATTTAAGTATTTATGTCTTTAGCCAAGTTATTGACTCTTGTTCCACATTTTCAGGAGGGCCAAGGGTACATTACAAGGGCACTCCACTAGAGAGATAGGGTCAGGGAAGAGATCAAGGTTTCAGGGTGAGAATCAATCCCACTCCCATTCTCCATAAAGTAAATGTGGTAAGAAGTTAGGGTTAATGTATAAAAATTTTAAGGAGTAGGAGCAGAGGTGATATATTTGAGACCAACCCCATAATGGAGGGTAAGTACATTGACATTAACTCACAAGGAAGATTGGGTAAGTGAAAGGAGGGATCTATAAGTTCTTCCCAATTCCTAGAAAAACTCAAAAGATAGATCCTACTGCTATAGCTATACAAACATCTTCAAGCATGAAAGATGGCATGCTACATTATTGCTGACAGGGGACTGAAAGCAAAGACAACCCGTATGTCAAATTAACACATAATGAAGTGGAATTGGCCAATATCAGAGCACTGCATAAGTTATCCAGGGTGTCCCAGAAGTCTTAGTGTAGTTTTGAATTTTAAAAAAGCTGCACTAAGACTTCTGGGACACCCTGGATAATATGAATTAAGTAGTATTGAAGGGATCTAAGAAAAAGGTTAGGAGGCAGCTAGGTGGCCCAGTGGATAGAGCACTGGGCCTGGAGTCAGAAAGACTTGAGTTCAAATGTGATCTCATACACTTATTACCTAGTGACTCTGGCCAAGTTACTGTTTGCCTTAATCCAGTGGAGAAGGAAATGGCAAACCACTCCAGTATCTTTGCCGAGAAAGTACAGAGTACTTTATGGACAGTATGATCCACAGGGTCACAAAGAGCCAGACGCGACTGAACAACAGGAAGACAGTTAATACATTGGCTAGTTCAGTGGAGGTTCAAAAAGAGCTTAAAAGGCTGGAACTTAAGATTCAACGAGGACAAATGTAAAGTTCTACATTTGGGTTTTAAAAAAAATCTATACAAGTAGAAGATGGGGATTAGAGGAAACTTGGCTTAACACCACTTCATGTGAAGAATATCTGGGACTTTTACATGACTGTGCGCTCAATGTGAGTCACCAGAAGGACAGGCAGCCAGAAAAGCTAGTGTGGTTTAAGGCTGTGTTAACAGATTATGGGGTTCTGGAAAAGGGAGAGTTCTACCACACTCGATGTATTCAGTTCCAGACATTTTTTTTAAATGGGGGATACTAAGAAACTAGGATGTGCCAAAAGAAGGATGACCAGGATGGTATGAGGTCTACAAATCACTGCACATAGTCATCAGTTGAATTGTTCCAAGGGGATGTTTCTCCCAGAAAGAAGAATACTTATGAAAGACATGATAGTTCTATTCTATGTTTTCATGCCTCTAGAGCTGGCATGTGAGAGGCAATAAATGTGTTTGCAATCACTCCAGAGATTGCTACAAGGAAGAACTTTCTAATTAGAACCATCTAGGTCTTCCCCTCCCCTTTGCTAACCTTTCTATAGATTGTACAAATATCCAGTTCACCCCAAACTCACCGGGAGATGGCGAAGAGGCCAGTAAGCAAGGGTAGCAGCTTGAGGGTATCCTGGGGCAGGTAGGTGGCAAGTACAGCCAGGTTGAAGAAATAGAGGATGAAGAGCTGGACAGACTGAGCCACATATCGCCTGTGAATTTCTACTTCTCTCTGTTGTTCCCCAAAGGGATGGAGTGCAGAGAAGCACAGCAGGGAGAGACCATATACCAGAAGTCCTGGGTTAAGAGACAATGGGGTCATGATAGGAAGGGGATGGGGAAAACAGATTAGGAGAGAGACTGGGAAAAGTAAGGGGAAAGGATCAAAGAGAAGCAGGAGGAAGAAAGACTAGGGCTGCTGGAGGAATGAGGTAACAAGAACACTCAGGCACAACTGGATCAGGCACTTGGGAAGAGCAAATGCACAGGAAGCTGGGGTGAAGTGGGCACTTTAACATGGAAATAGGAGGTGAGAAAGTGTTAAATGGAGTAGTCAGAGGGTATAGAATAAGGAAAAGGGGGATTTAGGATGGGAAGAGGGATAGGCCTGATATGCATGGGGAAGGGAAAGTTGGAATAGTCAAAATCTCTGTGGCCCTTTAAGAATTTTGATGAGCCCAGTTCCAATGTCTAGACATTGCCATCACCACCCACCCCACTCCACCCCAACATATACACTGTTACCTTCTCTGTATCAGGTCAAGCTTGTTCACCCTCCTTGGAGAGCTACCAGTGCCCCCCTGGGATGCCTATTCCCTTCCCATAAATACTTACCTAGAATTATGGGAAAGGTAGCAAAGACCCCACAGCGGAGCGTGTAGACAAGTCGGGAACTCATGGTGGGCAGCCGGGGGGCATCAAAAGGCAGGAAGGCATAAGCTCCGTATAACAGGCAGGGGAAGATGATAAGAGCAGCCCCAAAAGAGGCCACGGCCCTCAACCCCTCACGGCCACAGCCTCCACAACTCCCACAGCGGGCAGGTGGCATGACTGCTGCCTCTGCCCACTTCTGTTCGGGGTGGTCCGATCGGACAGCCCGAGGCAACAGAAAGGCCTGGCATTCCCCCTCAACCTTTGTGTCACAGTGGACAATGAGCTCTTCTTGGGGTCTCCTCTCAATGCATTGAGGGTCAATTGGCACAAATGCTCGGGCTGCCTGCTCAGGCATCAGGTTAATGTCTTCCTCAACCGGCTCCTCGGATTTTAGGGGCAGCTCAGCCAGAATGGGTTCTTTATCACATCCCTGCCAACCAGGGGAGTCTGGGAAAGGGGCGCTGGGCTGGGGGCTAGTATCTAACGATGTCCTCACCCAGGGCAAAGTAGTAGCTTCACTGCCAACCTTCCCCATCTCATTCTCACAAGGGGCAAGCTCTTCCCCATCTTCCCCCTCTGGTCTGAGTCCATTAGGGATGAGGGGCTGGGGCAAATTCTTCTCAAGGACATCTTGCCTCTTTACCTCCAGCAGAGCCAGTGTCTCAGGTTCTGTCATGCTGGGGCAAGGATGGGCCTAAATGCCTGGATTCTGGGGTATAATACTGGACTGCCGTCACCCTAGGAGAAGCACAGCGAGAATTTGTTAAGAATCTTCTTCATCTATAGGGAGAGAGAGCTTTAGGACCGATACTAAGGGGAAAGAGCTAGAGAGAATTAAGTCATTGCTCTCCTGGTGGGCAGAGGCCCCCATACTCTCTCTAACACTCTAACAGATATTGCCCATGTCATTAAGGAGAGCACCAGAGGGAGATAGTCTGTAAGAGATATCTCTGCTTCCCTGGAAATTTAACTCAGATTCTTCCTAGCTTCATAATTTTATTTATCTATGATTCTAATCCCCTTCTCCCCTAGATTTTAGGAAGTGTTGTGGGTTGGAAATAAAGTGTAAAAATTCCCCTAGGAAGGGGAAACTGAAATGGAGTCACATTTTGACATTAGCAGGAAAGGGTGAATTAGGGAGACAGAACCCAGGCATCCCTGCTAATCCAGGCCTCTTCCCTCCTTCCTTCAGTTCACAACACATGGCCATCCACATCTAAGAATGAATGGAGGATATAGCATCTTCAGCCCCTCCTTCTGCCTACCACCCAAGGGCCAGAACACCCCCCTCCCCCAGCATCAATCTTTTGTCTCTGCTCCTGCTAAGTATCTTTCTGGAGATTCAGATAGTCATAACCTCTCTTTTCCCATTGAAAACTAGAGGCTCCCAACCTCCCAATCTCCTCCCCACAAGCCCCCCCCCAATTCCATGGGATTAAGATGGACACCTAAGAAGTGAACAGTACCCACAGAAAAATGCCCATGGTTAGGGTTTAGGGGGTAGGCAGAAATTCAGCTGCCATTGCAAACAGCCCATTCTGTCACTTGGCCAACTTCCTATCTCATTTGTAAAGTTTAAGGGTCTAATCGTTGTCTACCTGGGAAATCTATTTCCAATCACTGGACATTTCTTACCTCCCTTTTCCTATTTTCCCTCCTCCTCTCCTCTCCTCCCTTTTCTTCCAACTCCTCACCACTGACTGGGCTAATTTCCCTCAAGTTCTCCAAGTCAACCTCCCCCTTACACCCCGGACCCATAGAGTCCCTTACTTGCCATCTAGAGAGATAGAAGGGAGATCCCAGGGCCCATCCGGGAAAAGAGCTGCTCCAGCTCCCCACTGGCTCTGCAGGTATTTCTTCGTGTCTCCCTCCCTTTACCTGCAGCTCCAAACCTGTCTGACCAGAGCAGGTGGGGCTGGGATTAAAAGAGAAGGCCCCACCCTCACCCTTCAGAATATCCTCCGACAGAAAAAAAAAAAAGAAAGAAAGGGTCACAGTCCCTAAGGTATAGGTGTGGCCACATTAGGCGCCTTAAGGAGTGGTCTGTACTTGTGGGTCTTCTCTGGTAGAGACTGGCTAGGAAAGGGCCTGAGGATCATGAGTTTTTGTCTGTGTCCAAATTAGTTTGGACTGGCTGATATTAATGTGGAATTTGCGGGTCCTGCCTATTACATGGAAAAACTTGTTCCCATTGCAATGCTTTCCAGCCTAGGGACTGGGATAAATCTCCAGGAAGGCTGAAGTTTGGACAGCAACCAAGACTTCTCATGGAGGTCTTGCAGGAGACACAGAAATGAGAAAGTGGAATAAAGGATTTCTGCCCTTTCCCAAAAGTCCTTAAAAGAATTGGAGAGAGTACTGTTGGGCTGGGCTGAGTTGGGCGAAGCTTAACTGGGCTGGTCTGGGCTGGTCTGAGCAGCGCGGAATCGGGAATTACTCATAAAATAACCTCAGGCTGGAGGTCGTGAAGCAGGAGGCAGGGAGGGGAAAATCAATGGAATTAAATCTTTAGAAGAGGAGAATCTTCATCTATTTGAACCAGATCATAAAAGCAGAATGGACTATGTGACCACAGGAGAATAAGATCACAGGCAGCCCTCCTGCATGAGACCCGACCAGCCCTACCCTTTCTCAGCTTCCGCCCTCTGCATTGTCTTTGGTCCTTTCAATCGGCTTTGTCAATAAAGTTTTTCGCAAAGCGTGAGAAGCTAAAAAAGCGGCCATGTTGCCCAGAGTTAGTATTGGCAATTCCCTGCCCACCGGAAGAGACAGGATCTCGCGAGATCTGGCGACACTGAAATTGCTGGCGTGGTGGAGATGTTCTCGCGAGACTTGGTGGCTGGAGGAGGAGCCGTCGCGGGCAGCCGCCTCACAGTGATGGCGGCCGAGCAGGGCCGGCGACGGTGGCGGAGGCGGCTACGGCCGGAGACGGCGGCGGCGGCGGCGGGTGGCGGGGGCTTGTAACCGGGAGCCGCCCCCGGGCCCCGGGCACCATGAGCCAGGGCCCACCCGCAGTGGAGAGCAGTGAGCCCGAGGCCAAGGTCCTGCATACTAAGCGGCTTTACCGGTGAGAGGGTCTGGGGCGGGAGAGGACCCGCTTGGCGGGGGGGGGAGGAAGGGGGGGAGAACAAGGTGGTGAGGGGGAGGGGGGTTAAAGGCAGGCGGGGGCGGGGCCATGTTGAAGGGGCGGGATCATCAAGGGTACAAATGGAGAAGTGGCAAAGAGGGTAGAATTTTGGAGGGAGCTGGGAGGGGCGGGACTTTCGAGCTCTGGGTTAGGGTCTAAGAGTTGGAGTTGGGGTGGGTAGTGGGTTGGACACGTGGAGGAAATCTGGGGTGGCCTCGGGTTTGGGACTGAGTCCCATGGAGGAGTTGAAGTTAAAAGATAAAAATAGGGCTTGAGTGCTGGTGCCAGTGAGATCCTTTGGTGGGAAGGAAGGGGCGGGGGTGGGGAGGGCGGCCTTCAACCTGCAAGAGAAAACTCAGGAAAAGGGAAGGGTGAGCTGAGGGGACTCAGTGGGGAGGGATTGTGGAAGTAGGACGCACAGGGTGGGTCTGGGAACTGAAAGGCTGTCCTATATTGAACATGGGCTTTAGGGAGGTATAAGAAGTGATTGATAGGTCCTGGAGACTTCTGGGTTCTTTTTCTCTCAGCCTTGTGGCTGATTCCACATACTTTATGCTCGTCTCTGATTTATGAAGTGCCACACCTCGTGGGTCATGACTTTAGTCCTTTGCTGGGAGCAGGATGGCCTCCCCACTCAGTGGTACTGGGGAGATGGAAGGGGGAGGTTGGCTGGACCTTTCATCCCATAAGTGGGTCCCCTCTGGGATCATGGCATATGCTGCATTTAAGCTTTCCAATCCTGAACTAGGGTTGCTCTTGATATTTAGCTCTGGCTTGGACACTCAGGACAGGGGAAAGCAACTCCTCATCTCCTCAAGCTACATCCCAGCAGGGAAAGAGTCAAGGCTTATTGTGTCTTCTTCAGCAAGTGGGCATTGTGCCTGTTTCAGCTGTGCCAGCCAGAGGGCATGGGGAGATACAAGCTGCTCCAAAAATAGTCCAGTGATCAAATCCAGCAGCCCGAAGGCTCCCACCTTGAGCTGCCCCTCAGCCGTCCCAGGGTGCATGAAGAGCAGGCTGGAGGTGGCACGTGTATCTCTTCTCTGCTGCCGAGTGTCAGTGCTGCTTGTCACACAAAGCGTGGGCAGGCACTGGGCGAGATTTCTCTCTAATCTCCTGCACCTGGTAGTTGTTCTGACCCTCTTCTGAATCATCTCAGAATCTAGTCCCTTCTAAAAATCACCACTTTGAAATGCTTAAACTGGTGTGTTGGCACATGCATGTGCAGATGTTGGAATTCTATCCCTGTGCATGCCTTCAGGCATGAGATTTGAGGCATCCAGTCACCTGTCATTGTTATTTATATGTACCAAAGGCGTTTGACAGAAGAGAACTGAGGGTAAGGTGTTTTTGAATTCTGTATGTAGAGAAAGATTCTATGTATAAGTGTAGGACCTATATCTCTGACCCTTAATTTCTTTGGAGGTAAGGTAAGGAGCTACCCCAACCTCTCTGTAAGTGAATGAATAAGCAGAGAAAGGGATATTGGAAGTCATAGGGGTACCACACTAAAGGATTCTTTTCTCACACACACACACACACACATACCAGCTGTTAATCAACAAGCATTTTTAAAGTGCTTACTTTGTGCCTGGCAATGTGCTGTGCCCTGAGGATGCGAAGAAAAAACAAACTGCTTTCAGGAGTCTTAGATTCTAATGTGGGAACAACATAAATAGATATGTAGAAGATAGCATGCATGCAAAAGAGAGATAGGTAACCTTAAAGAGGAACATACCAGCTGCTGGGGGGAACCAGGAAAGGCTTGCTTCAAAAGATTTGAGCTGAGTTTTGACAGAAGCCTGAGATTCTGAGAGGTAGAAGTGAGAAAGGAAAGCATTCTAGACCTGGGGAACAGCCAGTGCAAAGTCACAGAGGTGGAGATGTAGCATGTGTCAGGAACAGGAACAGGCCAGTCCGCCTAGACCTTAGAATCTGTGAAGAAAGTAATGTGTAAAAAGACTGAAAAGATGGAAAGGGGGCAGAGCGTTTTAATTGCCTAAAAGGATTTCATATTTTATCCTAGAGGCAATGAGGGGTTGCTGAAGGTTATTGAATAGTGGGGTGATTTGGTCAGATTGTCACCTTAGAAAAATCACTTTGGCAGCTATATGGAAAATGGATCAGACTAAAGGGAGACTGGAGGGAGAGAAACTATTTAGGGGGTCATTGCAATAATCCAGGCAAGAGTTTTTGAGGACCTAAATTTGAGTAGTGACTGTGTAGTGAGGAGGACATATCCAATACCTGTTGTGGCAAGAGAAATGACAAGATTTGGCAACTAATGGATTATATGTAGAATATGAGGAATCGAGGATGACACCAGCCTTGCAAATGTGGGTGCCTGGTGGGATGGTGGCGACCACAACGATAACAAGGAAGTTTGGAAGAGCAGTGCCTTTGGGAGCAACAACAATGGGTTCGGTTTTGAACATACTGAGTTTGAGATTCCGTTGAAGTGGGTCACAAAAGGGCCCATTGGTGATGCAGGAGAGAGAGACTGGGACTGGATATATACATCTGAGAGTCATCTGCATAGAAATGGTAATTGAGCCTTCGTGGAGTTGATGAGATCATCAGGTGAGAGAGTATGGAGAGAAAGAGAAAAGGGCCCAGGAAAGTGCCCTAGGATACAGTCAGTGAGTGGGTGGGTGTTAGTTGTAATGTGGATGAAAATCCTGCAGAGGGGAAGTGGTCATATAGCTAGGAAAGCCAAATAAGAGCATGTCACGAAAACCCAGAGAGGACATAGCATGTAAGAATAAAACATATCCTGACTAAAGAGTTTAGTAGTTGGCACCCTCTGGAAACAATTACTGATACAGGATGAGGTGTCTGATCCTGCTGCCAGAAGTCTGCCTGTCCCTTTCCTCGATATTGGGTTCCTCTTGGATTGCCTGTTAAAAAGGTCTTGATAACCATTTAGCCAGGTGCTGGCAGCTACCCTGCGGGCACCAGAATAGCTATCTAGGTGCCACGCCACTGACAGTGAGGCAGACGTGCCTGCCCCCACCCCAAGCAGGGGAGTAGAACTTGGTCTGCTTAGGAGTCTTGGCAGGGTTGGTCTTTGCCCTACAAAGGACATAGGGGAACAGTAAAGACTATGACTATGGCCCCTGCGCAACCCAAAGACAAAGCAGTTGAGGTGAGAGCTGCTCTGCTTGTTAGTATAATGTCACTTCTGGGTCCTCTCTCCTCACCAATCCTAGAGTTGCTACTCTAATGCAAAGCAAGACACTAAGAATGGCATTTCTTTGTGGCTAAGAGATGGTAAGTTTTCAAAGGATAGGTTCCAAGGATTCTTCAGTTTGAATGGTGCCTCCCTTAACCCTTTCTCTTTTTCCTAATCCCAATTCTTTTACCTATGCCACCCCATACTCATGGCTCTGAGTTTGTCTGTCTTGTATTTTTTTGCAGGGCAGTGGTGGAGGCTGTGCATCGACTTGACCTCATCCTTTGCAACAAAACTGCTTACCAAGAAGTGTTCAAACCAGAGAACATTAGCCTAAGGAACAAGTAAGCTGGGGCAGCCTCCAAACAACAGTTCCCAGTTCTCCTTCCCTTCCATCCCTCTTCATTTATCCTGTTCTTATCCTTAGTAAGCCATGTCAAATTCAGAGGTGTTCTGATAGCCTAATAAGAATGACTGTCATCTTGTTGCCCAAGATTTTTAGTTTTTCTGAAGGGAGGAAAGAGGAAACAGCTCCCAGCATTTGTCTTCCTTTCTTGCTTCATCTTCAGTCCATACCCCGTAGATTGCAGATAGGAGCCACATTTGAATCATGAGGAAGAATTGTCTGTATTTTACCCTGGAGGGAAAGAGAGAAAAAGAAAAAATTCAGGAAAAAAGAACAAGATGTTAGGGAAGAGAGGTATAGTTTATTGAAATTTTTACATGTCTTTTGGGACTTCTGTTTTGTTTTTTTGGAATGGTGATATTCAGTATCATTTTAGACTTTGTCTCTTAAGTGAGAGCAAAGTTATCTGTGTGGTAGGTATGTTATCAAATGTCTCCCTTGTAGCTAGTTCATCTCATCAGATAACCTCAGAAAGCTTTCTTTCCCCAACCCCTGCCTTTTCCTAGGCTTCGTGAACTCTGTGTTAAGCTTATGTTCCTGCATCCAGTGGATTATGGGAGGAAAGCAGAGGAACTACTGTGGAGGAAGGTGTACTATGAGGTTATCCAGCTTATCAAGACCAACAAAAAGGTAAGAGGAGAGGTAGAGCAGGGGGAGGAAAGACAGTGAGGAGCAGCGTCTAGGGAGAGGGAGAGCCAGTTGAGAGCCAAAGAGGGTGGGACAGAGGAAGTGGAAAAGAGTGTCCAGAGGGTAGGGAAGGAGCCTGTGGTAAACATAGTTGGGGGTCAAGAGGAAGTAGTATCATTCTGGATTTAGAGAGTTAGGGGAGGAAGGTAACCAGTGCTAGAGAACAGAACTGAGATGGAGGGGGTAGGAAGATGTTCTGGTTTTGGTGAGGGTAAACT